ATAGTTATGCTAGTTTTGTTTGAATCACGATTTATTGGTTTTACTTATTTCTTTTTATCTCTTTTTCTTGTATAACAAGTTGGGGTGTGAGAGTTTGAACCTCTTAATTCAATGAAATAAATAGGTGTCAATTACCGTTGATATATACTCATGTTGACTGTTTTAATGTTGTTGTTACATCATGTTGTTTTTATTATTTTTGTTGTTTTTTCTTTTGTGAAAGTAAAAATTGATTTTGTTTTAAATTTGTTATTTATTAAACTAAAATGAACCAATGTTATAAATAAGAATAGAAGTAAGAAATAAATCAGATTTTTTTTAATTTGACGACCTATAATTTTCTAAATATTATTCCTAGAAATAATTTGGAGCTGATATATATTTGGAATAAGTTTAAAATAAAGTATTATTAAAAAAATCCCCAAAATAAACTAGCAGTCGTTTTATAAAAAGAAAAAAGGTTGTAATTTTTTTATGCGATTTTAGAAAAATCAAATATTATTGAAACCAACATCAATTTCATATATCTTCATTAATTCCTCAATCTTGGCATTTTTAATTTTTGTTCTATACCACCTATTTCGATGGGTCCGTATGTTTAAACTATGTTTTTTCTGCTATTGATCATATTTATTCGACCCTTTATAACATAGTTCAATTATTTGAATAAGGCATTGCTAGCTAGCGTTCAAGACAACACTTTTTCTATGCATCATTTCACGTGTGACATTTGATGATGGTACTATATCTTGTCCATATCTTACTTCTGTAATGTACTTGTTAGATGATGAACCATGTCATGTGTCATTTTTTAGTTTAGCGCAGTATTCGAACTAACATACCTTGAGAGACTCAAACTGATCAACTAGTATCATGTAGTGATTGAGCGACGGCTCGAATGTCAAATGGTTGGAATCCATATGATCAACATGCCCCTTGCCACTACTCCAACTCGTGCACCATACTTTTTAAAACATACATCATGGCTGATCATGACGCTAACCACTCAACCCCTATAGATACTTGAGGAAAACTCGTCATGAAGTATGCCCAAATCTGTGAATACGCTTGAGAATGAAATAGTTCGGACTTCTAATAACTTAAGCGTCAGAGTGTTCATTTCTGTTTTGCACATCCTACACCATTCAGTATGAGAGGAAGGTAAGGTAAATATGTGCTCAAACAATACTCTTATTTCCACTCGATTGTATATTTGACTCTTTCATTTTATTTATTTATGTACCATGTAATATAATTTTATCTAATTTTTTACAATATACCTTACAATTTCTCAAACTTTTTGGTTTCATTCCTCCCATCAATATATACCCAATTTTTCTGTGTACTTTTTTCTTTATCCCTTTAATTAACATACAACTCATTTTTCATTACCCTTATCTGATCTATTCCCTTGCTTCTATTCATTCATCTCTATTTTTTGCATTATGCATGATTGAATTATATAAACTTCCCTACTTGAATTAAATATATAATTAATGTTGTTGGTCGTAACATTAATTTAAAAAAAAAAAAAAACCTAGTTTGATAGTCTCATTTTTAGCCAGTTCTTTCATAATACCATCCACTTTTTAAATTCTGAACTACATTTTTCATCTCGATTTAGCGGGATACTATTCACATATATTTTCTTTATTGGGCCGTCCATAATGTGATATAAGGGCCCAACATTAAATGGCAATTTTTGGATCCAAGCCCAATGGCACAACTAATGGGCTAATTGCTCACTTGACTGACATTCCCTTATATTTAAAAGTAATTAATTACAACTTAGTTTAAGTGAATAAAATACGCTAGATGATTTGATCCTCAGCCAAAATTTAAATTTAAAAAAAAAAAAAGACTAAGATAATTTATTTATACTCGATTTGTTTCGATAAATATTACCTAATCAATATTATTCGCCAACATAGCTCCATTTTAGTTCAAATCTCCATACTTTATTTTCTCACTTTTAGCTTATAAAATATAAATTTGGTTTAATTAATTTTAGATGTGCCACGTATATACTAATCTATTCATGGTCAAACTCAATCATGTGGATATTTTTTCACTCCCACCTACCTTTCTGCTTGGTCATCTATAAACTACAAACAAATCAATCAATTAAAATAGAAAAGACCCCCTTGGTAATCTTGAATTTATTTTTCAATTCAATTTTAATCCTTTGTCTTAAGCAAAACATTGTGTAATTTTTTTAACTTTCTTTCATTGTAATTGAAAAACAACCGATTTAAATACAATTTTTTGTCTAATACTTTCAACTTTAATTTATTTTAATTACTTTACTTTCAAACGTATATTTTAGTGTTTATATTTTTAACTTTCTTTATTTTCGTATTTTATCTCATTTAGTTTGATAAAAAATTTAACGTGACATTTTGTTTCCTAAATTTATTGAAATATATTAATAAATTTGTATCAAATAATTTTATTATGTATAAAATTCTATAAATAGGAACTAAAACAGTCACTTTTTAAAAATATGTGAATTAAGATGAACAAATTTTAAAATTATAAAGATTATAGATTTGTTTAAGAATAAGGTTTTAAATAGATAAATAATTTCAATGTTGTCTTTTTCACTCTTTTTCCAATCATAAGAACTTTTCCCTTTCTATGGGGAGTGAGAATCTTGGACGAGGTCACATCACTGGAGAGAGGAATAAATTAGACAAAGTTATGTTATTTTGAATTTATTTATAAAGACATGAATTTTAAATTATACGTTCATTTACGTTTTCTCATTACTCAATCTCTTAATATAAACAATATTTTATTTTTTTTTGGTTCTGCCCCCCAAAGAAAAATAACTTTTGAAAAATGAAACTTTTGTGATTTTATAGAAATATCTGATAACTTTTTTTTGTTATTTATGTTTCTCCAAAAATAAGTAATCTTCTTTACGTTTCAAAATAATCAATATCTAAATTAAATGTAAAAAGACAACCCACTGTAAGCCCGCCTTTGAAATATATATATATATATATATATATATATTGCCTAAAATTGCAAAAACGTTTTCTAAACGAATTTCAATTTACTTTATATTATAAATTATAATGTAATAATATAAACTACAAAAAATAATAATAACAGTCGTCATCTTTTACCTCTAAAGTTAGTCAGTTATATTAAATTTCACCATAAATTTGTAATTTTTTCTTTTTTATTTTGTAAAAAAAATAGGCACAATATGAAGAAATTGAAATTAGACATACAAATTGATGCACCTTGCCAAGTTTAGGGTAAAAAAAAAGATATTTTTCCTATACCTTTTGATAAGTTAGGTTAAATTATAATTTTGATCCTTATGATTTAAACTTTTGATATAGTTCTAAGTTGGTCGTATGAGATGTGCTAGTTCAAGTTTGGTCTATGCAGTTTCAATTTTGTTTTAATTTAATCCCTCTAATTTTAACAAATTCAATTTGGTGTCCTATTTTATAAATTGTACTTGCAATTACCATCTTGACAAAAAATTTACATAGAAATGAGACTTTTTCTATTTAGCCTATATTAGTTAATAAAGTTTCCATAAAATGCCTTAACCAATTACTCTATGCTCAAATTGAAAATAAAGTTAAAAAAAAAAAGTAAACATAGTTTTATCGGATTAAATCAAAGTAAACATAGTTTTATCGGGATTTTTCTTTATAATGCTAATTTTAAAACTTATTTCAAATATATGTCACTTTTGAAACTATTTTCAAGAATAATGTTTGGAATGGTTGGAAAATAACAGGTCGTCTCTTGAAGTGGCACTATAAGATCGTCTCTTCAAGAGATGACCTACTAACGTGTCGCTTACAAAGCGCCACGTTAATTTTTTTTTTTCAAATCAAGGTTGGTCGACCATCAGAGATCGTAGTTTTGAATTAACGTTGCGTTTATAAACGCCACCTAATTTTATCTCTTTCACCTTACATTGGTCTGAAAAAGTAAAATCGCCAGCACATCATTCTCACTCTCTGTCAGATTGGTGTCAAATAAATATATAATAATTATAAAAGCAAAGTAAAGTACAGATTGAAATGTGGGGCTTATATGATTTGATTATTTGAACCATAATTTTAAGCCGCCAATTCAACCATCAATGCACAAATTCAACATCAAACTAAAAAAATATAATACTTTTACTACTATATTGTAGGATATTATACCAACAATAATATAATATTTTTTAAAAAATTTGTACATTGGAAAGAGTATCGAATTTACAACCTATTTGATTTAAGATATATATCAATTATCACTCGCTCGCTTTTGACGTAATATTTTAATATTAAATAAGAAGGAAAATGTTCGCCCAATACTTATATGCTCGTATGTGGTGTAAGATAGGGTGATAAGCGTAAGTTTAAAAAATAAATACCTATTTTTTTATTTAAAATAGGGTCAAATTGAAATTAGATATATTTTAATTTAAAATCTTATAAAATCCAACCTGTTTGAAAATGTTTTATTATTATTTTTTTACATCAAACATGACTTTAAAATCTAATTTTTTTTTTCGCCAAACCGAGCATAGTTCATAGTTCAAGTGGTTAAGGTACTTATCTTTGACCAAAAAATGTTATGAGTTCGAACTCCCATCCCTAGTACAACCTTCAGTTTTTGTTTGTGAGATTTCAACTTATCGTAGAGTTTATTACTTGAGGAGGAGATAAAAAAAGAATGCTATTATGTTAATTATTGGCCGTCAATTTAAGACCAATTGGAAGTTAAATTCAATGATCAATTAATAATTAAATTAAAATTTCAGTGTTCAAATATGTCACTTTTCTAATCGAAGTGGAATTAAATATAAATCTCATAGGAAAAAAAAACGATGAGTTTTAAAACGTAATGACAAAAAAGCAGTCTTTTGAAGTTATAATATTAAAAAAAAAAAAAATTGTGACTTTTCTAGTACCTTCAATAGTATCATGGGTGTATAATTGCCATTGTCGTCCCCTCCCATCTGAAAGCAATTTTTTCTTCATGGGTATCACGATTACACTCCCATAAATCCCGCCATTGTTAATGATTAAGACCTTCGCTGTGCTGCACACTGATTGCCGATCTTTTTATGGAAGCTTTTTTTTTTTAATACGAAAGGAAAGTCCGTGTGCCTTTCACTTGCTGCAAAATGGCATTCGCTTATTTATACAAGAGCCTCGGTTTCATGATTTCTGGCTCGGAGGAATTTCTCTATGGCGATAATTTGGAGTGATCAGCTAATTAGGTGCTCATCACTCTTTTCCATTTCTGTAAAACCCTAAATTTTGATTTTACCTCCCTTCAAGTTTTAACAGCCGCAGCTCTCTATTCCGCGATTTCTGCAACAAACTTCGCTCTGAAAACTCGTCAAACTTTTTAAGGAAATGTTCGCCTTCCTTCTTTTTATTATTCTTTAATTTATAAATTTATTTCCCTTCCCTCTTGGGCTGGTTATCGAGAAAAACATGCATCATTTTGTGGGGTGGGGTGAAATTTCAGGAAAAAAGCGACAAATGGAAGCTTGAAGATGACGGTAATGATATTAAGGAAAAAGGAGGAAGAAAAAATTGGGGTCAGATCAGAATCAGAAAGCTGACGTGCAGTGAAAAGAGAGACTCATAGGGCAGGTGTCGAAGTAGTAAACGCCACTGGGAAAAAAAAATCATATTTAGAAAAGTATTACATATGTTCTGTTTCTTTTGGATGCATCTTGCCTTTGCTCCAGCAAATAATGTTGATGCCTTTTTTTTCTTTTTCATTTTTCTTGTTTTCTTTGTTTAAGTTGCTTTTCAATTTAATAATCTTGTCTCTTGGGTATTAACTAGGTTTTTGCTGTCATGTGAATGAAAACTGAGCATTTCATGGCTGTCTCTGCTGCTGATGGTCCCTGAATTTCCCGTCAGCCTCACTGTTTCTTCCCAAGAAAAGGTTAATCTCTGCTCTGTTTTGGCTCTTATGCTGGATTTGAACACTTGGGTTTGCATTTTTTTCCTTTCTTCTCCTCTTATTACTCATCTTTTTTTTTTCTTATCAGACTGTTTTTAGAGCTCGATTCTTGTTCGATCGTTTGATTCGTGATCTGGGTTTATAATTTTTAGGTTCTTATATAGTTGGCTTTGAGGTTTCCTTGTCGATTTTGAAGAAACAAAATGAGTGGTGCTGTTCTCGTGGCTGTTGCTGCTGCTGTTGGTAACTTGTTGCAAGGATGGGATAATGCTACAATTGCAGGTAGATTCACTCTTTCTCTGTTCTTTTTTACCCATTGCGAGATAAAAATCGTTGAATTTCTGTCTTTATTAGCAAAACTTTCATGGTGTTCTACCATTTACTTCATGAGCTCTTCCAAAATATATCAAAATATGACTCCATTGTTGCTGCAGGGGCTGTCTTGTACATTAAAAAGGAATTCAATATGGAAAGTGACCCCACTGTTGAAGGGCTGATTGTGGCCATGTCCCTTATTGGAGCCACTGTGATCACCACATGCTCTGGGGCAGTATCGGATTGGCTCGGCCGCCGGTTGCTGCTAATAATATCATCTGTTCTTTACTTCATCAGTGGCATTATAATGCTGTGGTCTCCCAATGTATATATCCTTCTCTTAGGCAGGCTTTTGGATGGTTTTGGAATAGGTTTGGCAGTTACATTGGTTCCAGTTTACATATCTGAGACCGCCCCCCCTGAAATTAGAGGATCATTAAACACTCTTCCTCAGTTTACTGGTTCAGCAGGAATGTTCTTCTCATACTGTATGGTTTTTGGGATGTCTTTAATGGAATCCCCAAGCTGGAGATTGATGCTTGGGGTTCTCTTTATTCCTTCTCTTATATATTTAGCATTGACAATATTTTTCTTGCCCGAGTCACCTCGGTGGCTCGTCAGTAAAGGCCGGATGCTCGAGGCGAAGCGGGTTCTGCAGAGGCTCCGAGGCAGAGAGGATGTGTCTGGTTAGTTCTCAGTGGATGCTAATTTACTATTCTACTGTTTGTATTAATGTTCCATACTTGATATTGATTGGTTTAGGTTTACTAGACTTCAGTGATTTGAAACTACAAGTTTTTAGAACATCTTTGGGTAGTAGTTCATTGAAGAGAACCACAGGCTGACATTCGTTTAAATTTGTCATAGTTGTGAGTCGTGACTATATATTTTGATACTGTCATTTCACAGGCATGGTATCGTAAAAACCGTCATGCTACCGAGTGCAATAAGTATTAGAAGTATATTTCTATCTAAATAGTGTACAATACATGTACTTCAGATGTGGAATCCTACCGTTAAGTTACTTGTTGATTGTAGCTCTAGGTTATTGTGTTATCTATAGGTTTGTGAAGACTCAAGAATCATGTTGAGTGGGTAATTCACCTTGTATGAAGGAACTATTTAACTGAAAGTGAAACTTAAAACTTAAACTTAAACTTAAACTTAAAACTAAGGCTTCTTCTTTTTGCTGTTTCACTTTGATGGTATGAATAAGATGAAAAAAACGTAGAAAGCATTAATATATAGTCCTTAAAAAGTTATTTTCATCCTTCGTTGTAGCTGCTTTCTTTTCTAGTGGATGGTTCTTCCCAGGGTTTTGGGAAAGAAACTGTGGAATTCAGTTACTGACTTGCACTTTCTGTTGGTTTTTACTATTTTGTTGAACTAGCTTCATCGAATGTTACCGATCGAAATCTTTTGATGAACAGGTGAGCTGGCTTTACTTGTTGAGGGTCTTGGAGTTGGGGGTGAAACCTCTCTTGAGGAATACATAATTGGTCCAGCAGATGAACTTGCCGACCAAGATCTCTTGACCGAAAAAAACGAAATCAAATTATATGGACCTGAACAAGGACTCTCTTGGGTTGCTAGGCCAGTTACAGGACAGAGTTCTCTTGGCCTAGCATCTAGGCGTGGAAGCATTATAAATCAGAGCGGATTTGTTGATCCTCTTGTTACTCTCTTCGGCAGTGTTCATGAGAAGCTTCCCGATACAGGAAGCATGCGCAGTACGCTCTTTCCACACTTTGGCAGCATGTTCAGTGTTGGAGGCCATCCACCGAGAAATGAAGAGTGGGATGAAGAGAGCCTTGCTAGAGAGGGTGAGGACTATCAATCAGATGCTGGTGGTGGTGATTCTGATGATAACTTACAGAGTCCGCTGATCTCACGACAGACGACGAGCATGGAAAAAGACATGATTGCACCTGCTCATGGCAGTCTTTCAAGCATGAGACAGGGAAGTCTTGCTGGAGAACCTGTTGGAAGTATGGGGATTGGTGGTGGTTGGCAACTTGCCTGGAAATGGTCCGAGAGAGAAGGCCCAGATGGAAGGAAGGAAGGAGGTTTCAAAAGAGTTTATTTGCACCAAGAGGGCATTTCTGGACCTCAGCGTGGATCCATAGTCTCTTTTCCCGGTGGCGATGCCCCGACTGATGGCGGTCTCGTTCAGGCTGCTGCTTTGGTGAGTCAACCGGCGCTTTACCCCAAGGAGCTTATGCATCAGGAGCATCCAGTAGGACCAGCTATGGTCCATCCGACCGAAACCGTTACAAAAGGTCCGAGTTGGAGGGACCTTTGCGAACCTGGAGTCAAACACGCGCTGCTCGTTGGAGTAGGAATTCAAATACTTCAGCAGGTAAAACTGTCTTGCTCTTCTGACTTAAACTTTATCTGCTTCATTTTTCAGTAGGGCCTTCTTCAAACTAGTAGTTTTATTTGCAGTTCTCTGGCATAAATGGAGTTCTGTATTACACTCCACAAATTCTTGAGAAAGCAGGCGTTGGAGTTCTTCTCTCAAACTTGGGGATTGGTTCTTCCTCTGCATCTTTTCTGATCAGCACGCTAACGACATTGTTGATGCTCCCTTCAATCGCGGTGGCCATGAGACTAATGGACCTCTCGGGCCGTAGGTAATAACGTCGAATATACCATGTTGACGTAGACACTCATTTTCAACTTTCTACATCTCACTCCATATATTTCCCCTTATCATGCAGGACTTTACTACTATGCACCCTCCCTGCCTTGATAGCATCTCTCATCATCCTAGTCATCGGCAACGTAGTCCACATGGGCAGCGTAGTGAACGCGTCGATCTCAACGGTTAGCGTAGTTGTTTACTTCTGTTTCTTCGTGATGGGGTTCGGGCCAATCCCGAACATACTATGTGCAGAAATCTTCCCGACTCGAGTTCGTGGCCTCTGCATTGCTATCTGTGCACTGACGTTTTGGATCGGCGATATCATCGTCACATACACGCTGCCCGTGTTGCTCAACTCGGTCGGGCTTGCAGGTGTTTTCGGGATGTATGCAGTTGTTTGCATCATTTCATGGGTGTTTGTGTTTCTGAAAGTTCCTGAAACCAAGGGCATGCCACTTGAAGTCATCACTGAATTCTTCTCTGTTGGTGCCAAACAGGCTGCAGCTTCCAAAAACAGTTGAAATTCATCATACACACACAAACACACATAGATTCAAAATTTTGACTGTTTGATATTTTTCGTTGGTTTTCTATTTTGATCTTTGAATGGTCAAACTCGGTTACTGTAAAGAGTATTAGTTTTTTTCTCTCCTCCCTTTTATTTTTAATCCTTTGGTAGGAATTTGAAAAATTTTATTGTAGTAATGTTGGGTGTGATTTTTTTGGGAGAAATAGTATTTTTTTGTTGTTTTTAATTAATTATTATTTATAATCAGTTTTTAAATTTCAAAAAAATTAGAATTTCCTGTTATGTAAAATATTAAAATATAGTTTATAAAGTAGAGTAAGACGAGACTAAAAGTTTATGATGAAAAATGATCAAATCAACATGAAAAGAAAACAATTCTTAAATAAAAACTACAAGAAGAGAAGAAAAAAAACACAATTCAAATTCTAAAGGATTAGATCGAAGGAAAAAAGAGAGAATAAATGAAACGTCGTCGTCAGTGATTGACAACGGCCTTTCCCACGCTAAAATATTTTCCGCTCGTTTCAGCCACGTCAGCTCACTTCGGATAAAATTTAATATATATATACTTTTCAATTTTTTTTATAAATAAAAAGTTTGCTTTTTATACGGCGTCGTGCCGTCTCTTGCTTTCAGGACAGCCACCCAACGATTTCTCTAGAATGGAAACAATCCGACGGCTACAAATTTTAGATGCGTTCTTTGAAGTTTGAACCAAGGGCCAGACTTGTGCCTACTGGGCCCACCGAAACCGACACCTGTCAAATTGTTTCTTTTTTCTCTCCCTCCTTAAATTGTGATGTAGATTTTTTGCATTTTTTTAAATAAATTGTTTGATTGGAAATAGAGATATTTTTCTATGAAATCCCTGATAATTTGATAAAATGGTAAATTTTAATTTAAAAAAGTTATCATCATACTATCATTTCTTTTATGTGGTTGGTTCATGGGTTTGGATTTGTACAATTGATCTCGTTTAAACTTATTTTATTTAAGTTCTCTGTCTTTGACAAAAAAATAATAATAATAATAATAATAATAATAATAAATAAATAAATAAAAAGAGTATCTGTGTGCATTTTAAAACATGTTATTTCTAAAAAGCATAAAACCATAAATTTAAAAAAATCTCAATGATATTTACATTATTCTTAAGCTCTTGAACTTTAAAAACATTTTAATCCTGCTTTTGGTAGTACTATCAAGTTTAACAGTTATTATCGTTAATTAAATGTTAATGTGACTTTGACATGCAAATTAAGTTTAATAATGATGATTTAGCATGATTAGACTGTAGACACGAGAAAATATTCTAATTATATAGAATAAAAGTGGGTGAGAAAAAAAAAACCAGTTTAAGGCGAAATCCCTCAAATTGGCCCATCAAATTTTGTTGTCTACTAGTATTTATTTTGTCGTACTAATTGACATAGATTTATTATAATCAAAATTAAAAGTATAAGAGACATTAACTTAATCTTTTAAAATTAATATGAGCTTCGTTGAGCGATAATTGACACCTACATGTGATAAAGAAGTTATGAGGTTGAATCCCCATCCAGTTGTTGCAATAAAAAATGAAAAAAGAAAATAAAAAGAAAAGTTAATCTTTTAAGGATGACCGGTTAAATTGACAATCATTTATTATAATGAAAAAAACAACCATTTAAAATTTTGGACAAACTTTATAATTTAATAAAAAAAGGTTGATTTATACTAAATAGCAGGTTCAATTATCATTTTGATCATATACTTACAACATCTATTAATAATGTTAGTCATTATACTTTCAAAATATCCATTTTAGTTCTAATACTGCAAATTTCTTTAAATATTTTCACAATTTCAAATTAAAGAGCTTTTGTTTGTGTATAAATTTTATTAGGATTTTACAATAAAAGATCAAAATGTTAAAGTTGAAGATAAATAGATTAAAATAAATATTAGAGAAGGTAAATTAATTAAAATAGACACATACTACATGTGATTGTGGATAACAAGACATGTTTTAAACCTAAATAAAATGAAAGGCAATTACATAATGACACAATAAAAATAAAAATATGTATTTTTAAATTAGAAACAAGCTTTAAAATTTCTCAAATAAAATAGCATGATTTGAATTCCAACCTAAAACGCTATCAAGTGAGAAGAAAAAACTCAAAATTTTGACATTTTCGAAAAAAAATAAAGTATTAGCCCTTTCTAAAATACATATCAAATATAATTTGAAAATGATATGGTACCATAATTTACGTCTATTATTACCTATGAGCACCAATAACTACCTCTATATTATTATGTCGATGTTGATGGAAATCTCGAAGGCTCACGATTATGAAATGTGTAAAGAAATATCGATAAAATATTACGTCCTTGAATAATTTTGAAAAAATGATAAAATTAAATAATTCAACACAAGTATTTGAATTAACAGATAAGAATTTCACATGTTTTGATAAGTACATTAAAAATTACTAATATTAAATAATGTCCATACTACCAATATCATATTTGGAGGACGGAATGAAGAAAGACCATATTTCCTTAAGCAAGCTTTTTTTTTTTTTTTTTCCTTTTTTGGCATTTTCCGTACTTCACAGGGCTTTGCGTTTTGGAGCTTCTTATCAATTTTCCTTTTTTGAAAAATGTTGGAGCTTCTTATCATTATCATATATCATGAAAATATATAAATATATGCCACTTTTTATTATACTCTCATATTCACACCAAAATATCACAATGCTTGAGATACTCCGATGTGTTTTGGCAAATTACAAAATAAAATTGATTTTAGAAAAGTTTAAAATCATTTTAAATTGATTTTTAACTCTCACTTGAATGACGATTTTAGAAAATCAATTCTGCTCAAAGCTGTGTTTGAGAATGAGGATAAAATCAGTGATTTTTAGAAAAAAAAAAGATTTTAGTATAATTGATTTTCTAAAACAATTTTTTTAATTTTTCAAATATGATTAATGAGAAGAGAAGTGATTTTTGACCCTGAAAAAAAAGTGATTTTGCTAATGCCAAAATCACTCCCTAACACACCAGTTTCTTTTTTCCAAAATCACTAATTCTAACTTTATTCCCAAATAAACCCTTAAATTAGTTTACGGAGTCAATTTTCTTGTTGTTAATTTAAATCAATACTTTCTTTGAAACCAAGTTAAAATTTTACCAGAAACAAAAATTAAATTCTAGCTATGATTTTTATTTTTTTTTTGAATAAGCTACGAATCCGTTAGTAGAAAAAAAATATATTCAAAACGAAATCTAATACAACCACCACAAAAGCAACTCCCACGAAAATCGTCCAGTCTGGTAACAAGAATGATCCAATTTTACCTCAAATAAAAAAGAAAAAAATATATTAACATATCCGTATCAAGAAATAAGTGAATGTCACTTACCAATAATTGCAATTATTATTTTAGGCAGCAATAATGGCATGTGGTTTATTATAATAATTTTTATATATAAAAACTATGAATTAAATAAGAGAATGTATAAATCAAAATTTTAAAAATATAATTGAAGTTTAAACCATCTATCGATTAAATAAACATAATTGATAATTGATATCATATAATTAAAACCTGCAGATAAAAGACAAAGCGGGAACTAAAAAATAAAAAAGAAAACTTTTTTGAAAAAGAGAAAATTGACGATCATATTCATATACATTAATCATTAATCAGAGAAAAAGAGAGGGGGGAAAAAAAAGAAAAAGAAATCTATAAGAGCCAATTTTCAGCACAAGTTTCTTAGCGCTTTCCCATCAAATCCTTCGTCCCGATTCAATTCAATTCCAGTTCTACCCATTCCTTCTCGTGCCGAAGATAGAATTTCCAATACCCAGAAGGAGAATCCATCTCTTTCAATCGCTATTTCAATTTCCCAATTCAAATTGATCTCAAACTCTTCCTCTTCCTCTTCCAATTCAATCTCTTCTGTCCATAGAATCATCCCTGGTTGTTTCTGATCAATCTCCTCGAGTCGACGACGGTCTTCATCGCTGCTAATGGGGTTCGATCGAGAAGCCGGTTGTTCGTCCAATTGCCTCCGATCTCCGGTGTCGAGGGAGGATACGCCCCTTCTCGGCAGCGCCAAGCCTCTGTCTTCGCAACCCAAGACTTTTGCAAACGTTTTTATCGCGATCGTTGGGGCCGGCGTTCTGGGGCTTCCATACGCCTTCAAGCGCACCGGGTGGCTCATGAGCCTTCTCATGCTCTTTTCCGTCGCCTTCTTAACCTATTACTGTATGATGCTCCTCGTCTTCACTCGCCGGAAGATCGAGTCGGTAATCGGATTTTCTAAGATCAATTCGTTTGGGGATTTGGGTTACACTATTTGCGGTTCGCCTGGGAGGATTATTGTTGATATTCTGATTATTTTGTCGCAAACTGGGTTTTGTATTGGCTATTTGATTTTCATTGGCAATACCATGGCCGATGTTTTTAATTCTCCGACCTTCACCGATTTGAGCCCTAAGATTTTGGGATTGGCTCCGAAGGTTGTGTACGTCTGGGGGTGTTTCCCTTTCCAATTGGGGTTAAACTCGATTCAGACGCTGACGCATTTAGCTCCTTTGAGCATTTTTGCTGATGTTGTTGATCTTGCATCTATGTTAGTGGTGATGGTGAAAGATGTGGGGATTATTTTCAAGCAGAGCCCATCTGTGGAGGCTTTTGGGGGCTTTTCTGTATTCTTTTATGGAATGGGAGTGGCTGTCTACGCCTTTGAAGGAATTGGAATGGTGTTGCCTCTTGAATCAGAGACCGAGGACAAAGAAAAATTTGGGAGAGTTTTGGGTTTGTCCATGGGTTTCATTTCTGTGTTATATGGGGCATTTGGAGTCCTTGGCTACTTTGCTTTTGGCCAAGAAACCAAAGACATGATCACGGGCAACTTAGGCCCTGGATTGGTTAGCACCATTGTTAAACTGGGTCTGTGTATAAACCTGTTCTTTACTCTGCCATTGATGATGAACCCAGTTTATGAGATTGTAGAGAGGCGATTCTGGGGAGGAAGATACTGCCTCTGGTTGAGATGGCTGCTGGTTTTCTTGGTGAGTTTGGTGGCACTTTTGGTCCCAAACTTCGCTGATTTCTTGTCCTTGGTTGGAAGTGCTGTGTGCTGTGCTTTGGCATTTGTGTTGCCTGCCCTGTTCCATTTCCTGGTTTTCAAAGAGGAATTGGATCTCAAAGGATGGTGTTTGGATATTGGCATTCTGGTGTTGGGGCTTGTCCTTGGAGTTTCTGGGACCTGGTCTGCTCTGCTGGAGATTTTCTCTGTTAAGGTATGAATATTCAAAACCGTTGCGAATGTGGATGTCCAATGTGCATATTCTCTGAAGTTTATATGAAAATTAGAATGGTATTGTCCTGATAATGTGTGATTCAATAGAGTAGTAGATAGATAAAATAAGAGTTGAGGGGTTGTGTACTGTCTTTTCTGTGGACTCTAATTTGATTTTGTGAAGTTAAGAGTGGAATTCAAAAGATCATTTGGTGTTATATTGGAAGGATTCTTACTTTTTGGAGAATAATTGCATTGCATTACATATTGTGGTGGATAAGTTGTTTGGATTTGATATCATAATGAATGGCAATTGCTATCTTATCTTACTGCACTTTGAAATGGTTTGAAATTTGTGTTTGCTTTTGGAAAGTTGATAATTTTCCATCTGAAAACTAAGTTTGAAGGCTCTTGTAATGGTGTTAAGCTTTCCTCTATTTCCATTATTCTAAAGAAAAAGATAGTTGTGAGGAAAACTCAAGTGACCATCCAAAGATACATTATGTAAATGAGTAGTTTGAGATTTTGGTTAAATGCCATATGAAAATTTTACTACGGGCGAAAGCACCTTAGAAAAAGGTTCCCAAACAAGCTCTCAAGAGGTAGTCCGGTTGGCAATAACTTTTATCTCTTGGTCATAATAGCTTAGAGTGTCCTCGATGTAGGACAAAGCTCTGACTCACAATTATTAAAAAAAAAAAATTCCAACATACAAACATACTCTTTCAGGTCTAAGTTGCTCCCCTTTTCTTTTTTAGATTTTTCAATGTGTATGTCTATGGTAGCCGGTGGTTTCAATGACATTTTCAAAATCTAAGCTTAATTTTGAAAATTAAAAATAAATTAACTTTTTTCAAAAAACTTTTTTATATCCCTCTCAAATACAATAATTTTGATTGAGACGTAATTTTGTTCACATTTTTAAATATCGTTTTAAATTTCAAACTCACTCTAAAGTGGTAGATTTTATTTTAGAACTTTCAAGATCTTAATTATTAGACATTTATACTAAATCTGTAAACCTTGATTTAAAATTATCATTTTATCTTTCGCTGTCATCCATTAGCCTCTCTCTTCCTCTAACTTTTTCCTTCCTTTTTAATGAAAATCTCCACATGGAAATTAAAGATAGTTGGACTTTATTTTTCCTTCCGACTATAGATTAAAAGTGAGATTTGATAATAAATTTCCAACTTTACTTTTATTATCATTCTTAATTACTTAAACCTATAATTTTTTCCTTTTCACGAGGACCACGTCTAAACAAGCTGTTACTTCAGTAGTTTAGTTTGTTCTGTAAAACCATTTTTAAGAAAATTAAAAAGAAAAAGAAACAAAATTTAAAGTTTTATTTGTGTTATAATATTTTTTTAAAAAATCATTTTTTTGAAGTATTGGAATATTAATTTGAAGGAAAAAAAAAAAAAGAGTGGTCCAAGTCCAATCCAATACGACACCGTACGTGCAGGAGTGAGTACAAACTACAAACAGCCCTTCGAGCCCAGACCGGCCCACGAAACAGAATTTACGAAAATGGGTAAATTAAATCCCTAAACTTTAAAAAGTGACTTAATAAATTTTCAAGTTTGTGTATAATAAGTCCCGTAGAATTTATCAAACGAAAAAAAATCCAGATACTTATGAGGCACAATATTAGGGGTTTGGAAATTTGTTAGACACTAAATAATTTATTTATTAGTCACTCTATTGGACAAAAATTAGGTTTAAATATTATTTTTTAGTTGTACTTTCAATTTTATTCATTTAGCTTAGGTTCTTCTTAAACATATATATATATTTTAGTCCATCTACTTTTAGAAATATATTATATTTGTTTCTATTTACTTAATGTCAACACAAATTTTATTCATAATTAAAACTCCTAAGAAACAGGTTTATGACTACATTTATAAATAAATAAAAACAAGGCAAGTGAAATGTCACTCGCTTTTTAAAAATACAGTGTCAAAATGAAGGTTTAAAAAATATAGAAATTAAAATAAACAAAAATTAAAAATATATGAACCAAATAAAAGTCTTAAAATACCTAAACTAAAATGAACAAAAACTCATGGTACAATGATCAACATAGTATGTAGACCCCAAACTTATAATTTAAACAATAATAATTACACATCAATCATAAAAAGAAGTTCGGAGATAAAGAAGGAACATGACTTAAATGACGAGTATGCGAACATAAAACACAGTTTTTTTTTTCGGTACAACAACATGTGAGAGTGAGATTTTAACACACGAACATTTGCCCGCAATTTATGAGCTAGGCTCGAATTGGAAACATACACATTGCTTAACATTAATAATAAACGCTATATTTTTTCTAAAATTAAGGGTCGAAATTTATACCAACATGAGCTTCAACGATAATAATTGATACGTTATTCGTAATTAAAAGACCGTGAGTTTGAATCAACCAGTAAAATTGGATGTAGTATAAATAAATAAATAAGAAAGTCCAGATTTATATCGTACATTTATTGTAGTGAAAAAGGGGTTAATTCCCAATAATAACCCAAGCTTTTAAATGTTGCCATCTCTGGCGAAGCTATTTAAATTCCCCAATCCGTTTAGAAAGGGGATATTAAAGACAAAAGTGTTTAAACAGTGAAATAAAGATAATGGAAGTCATATTTCGTGAAGGCCATTTATGTCATCTGAAATGTGGGCCCCACCCCATCCCCTTCCCCTTCCCTTTGTTAAAAATCATTCAATTTTACTCACCACTTACTTTTTGCATTTTTCTAAATTTTAAATTAAAAAAATACATTGCCGATAGATCTTTAGGATTCCCAATCAATAGATGATAGATTCGATTCCTCCTCCTCGTCTCTACATGTTAGCACTAAAAAAAAAATATAACCATGATGCTGGTTCATTGGTTAAAAAGAACTATAGTTAATTAAGATGAAATAAATTCAAATATCTTGATGGTCACCTACTTTAGGACAGTACAACTATATTCAAAATGAGATTCAAATCCATAACATTTTCTATTGAAAATATATGCTTTATAGGTTTAAATTGGAAACAAATAATATATATTTTTTATTGAGAATGAAAAAAAAAAATCTTTATTTTTTCTAATGTAAAATTGTTTCGAAAACAGTCTTTGAACAGCCCTAATATTTCGGTTTTATTAAATTTGATTTTAATAAAAATTTAGAAAATAGAAACCAAATCCATACCCGAAAAAAAATGAAACATATACATTATTTGCATTTTGGCACTTTTTTTTTTTCATTTTGAATGTATGCATTTTGGTCCTCTTAATTATAAACTGCTTTTGCAGCTATTATTTCGTATGATTATGTAGTACTCCTTCGAGCTTTTTTGGTTTTGTTTAAATATTATATTCATCTACGTAGTTTCAACTTTATTTTATTTTAGTTTTTTACTTTCAAAACGTCCATTTTAGTATCTATTTTAACAATTTTTCTTCATTTTAGTTTTTTTTTTACTTTCAAAACGTCAATTTTAGTCTCTGTACTTAAAAAAATATTCATTTTAATTTTTTTATTTTCATTTTTATCTTGTATAATTTTTGCATGACACTTCACTCGCTAAATTTATTAAAATATAGTCATATATTTGTATTTAAGAGTTTGTATTGTGTATAATTTTTTTCAAAAGAGCGATCAAATTAGTCACTTTTAAAAGTACGGACATAAACAAATATTTTAAAAATACAATAACTAAAATGAATAAAAATTGAAAGTTGTACCGTCAAAATTAACATTTCAAAAGTACTACTAAAATAAAAAATACACTAACCAGTATAGTATTTAAAGTTTTGAAAATTTGAATGTAGACCCTAGAATTTACACACTCCCTATTTTGGTCCTTTTTTTTAACTTTTAACACCACAAATTTAGTCCACCAACTTGTATTAAATTCTACATTTAGTTCCTAACAAAACAATGTTTTGTCTACATTATTAAAAATGCAATGTGAACTCATTCATTACCAATATACTATATATTATCACCTTCATATTATGAATTAAACACAAAGTTTAATGAAAATTCGAGAATCAAAATTCATATTTTAAAGAGTAAAGAACTAAAATTAAAAACAAAATAAAAATAAAGAAATTTAAAGACTAATATAACATCGACTTCTAAAATTTTAGAACCCAAATTTAAGATGATTATTCTTAAAAGATATCAAATTGTACCACCGCCCATAAAATTTAGTGGGGGTTACAATTGCACCAATTAACTTTTATTTACATGGCAAAAAAAAAAATTATGTACAAAAATCAAACCCTTAACGTCACATAATTTTGTAAAATGTAAATCTTACTGTCGATTTTATATGAATTAACCTTGATAAATTGTAAAAGGAAAAGATAAACCTTACTATCGATTTTATATGAATTAGCCTTCGATAAAGTGTTCGTCAAATTGTTTCTCCTCATCCAAATGTTTCATTCTATTCGTTAAGTTACAAATTTAGTCCTCAAACTTTTAAATTATGTAAAAAAAAGATCTCACAACTATACATTGAGTCATTAAACTGGAAAAAAAAAAAGTCTACAAAATTTTAATTTTGTATTTAATAGATCTCTGACCCATCTAACATTTTTTAAAATTTTTGAACCTATACATCATAAGATTGAAAGGTCAAGATATTCTTATACATAAAATCAAATAAAAATTGTCAAAATAGGCAGAAAAGTTATTAGCCACAGTCTAAATACATATTAAAATTTGAGCACCAATCAGACAAAATCCTCAGAATGCAAGTCTAAAAAGGTAATTTAAGCAAAAAATGAAAAGTACCAAAATGAAACATTTGGTTGAGGAGAATAAGGCGAGGGGAATTGACGAAAATACCCCTGGCTGTACTAAAGATCAATTCCAAATGCAAGAAAGAGAGAGAGAAGTAAAAAGTGCCAAGAAAACACAGGCATTGCTAGCTGTCACCAGCACATTTCCCTCCATTTCTCTCCACACCCACTCTCTTCTCTTTTTTATAAAATCTTTCCTCTTAACCTCTTCTTCTTCACTCTCCTCTCAAACCCTAACAATGGCGCCTCCACTTTCACTCTTCTTCTTCTTCTTCTTCCTCTGTAGCTCTGCTGCTGCTTCAATGGCCGCCCCCGCCTTCCAAACCTTCAACACCCACTCCTCCCCTCACTTCTTCAACCCGAAGCTCCCTCCCAACTCCCTCTCCTCCTCCAAGAAATTCGAGGGCTCCTCCGATTT